ATTTTGAGGTTGCTGTGAGCTGTGATGCCAAGGAACTCTACTGAGGGTGACATAGTAAGATTCTGTCTCAAAAAAAAAAAAAATTAAGACTAAAAAATTATTCAACAACATTGTAAGGCATATAATTTTGAAAGAAAAATAAACAAAAGGCAAATATAAAAGAGCAAAATGGTAGAGTCACATCCAACTATATGTGTATCAATAATTACATTAAATGTAAATGGCCTAAAGACTCTAAATGAAAGACAAAGACTTTCAGCCTGGATGAAAATAAGACCTAACTGTATGTTTTGTTTTCTTTCTTGAGAATGAGTCTCACTTGTCGCCCCCGGTAGAGTGCCATGGCATCATAGCTCACAGCAACCTCAAACTCTTGGGCTCAAATGATTCTCTTTCCTCAGCTTCCCAAGTAGCTGGGACTACAGGCGCCTGCCACAATGCCCAGCTATTTTTAGAGATGGGGTGTTGCTCTTGCTCAGGCTGGTCTTGAACATATGAGCTCAGGCAATCCACCTGCCTCAGCCTCCCCAAATGGTAGGATTATAGGCTTGAGTCACCACACCCAACCCAAGACCTAACTGTATGTTTAATAGAGGAGATGGATTTTTAAATACAAAGACACTGAAGAGTTCCTGCTCATAATTAGTTCATTTTCCTTCATTTAAAAGCACAAAAGCAGGATTAGCAAGAATAATCAAAGTGTTCTGGATTGGCAAAGATAGGAAATAATTCATCATTTACTTCAACAAACATATCTAAAGCAAGGAGCCTAAATGTAAGACTTTGTCCTGGGTCCTTCAGGGAGATATCAAGAAAGGATTCTGGTTCACTGTCTACAGCTCAGCGGTTAGGGTGCCAACCACATACACTGAGGCAGACGGTTCAAACCCTGCCTGGGCCTGCCAAACAACAATAACAACAAGAACAACAACAACAACAACAAAATAGCAGGGTACTGTGGCGGGCACCTATAGTCCCAGCTACTTGGGAATCTGAAGCAAGAGAATCACTTAAGCCCAAGAGTTTGAGTTTGCTGTGAGATGTGACGCCACTGCACTCTACTTGAGGGCAATATAGTGAGACTCTGTCTCAAAAAAAGAGAGAGAGAAAGAAGGGTTAATAGTCTGTGCTATAGGCTCAGCGCCTGTGGCTCAAGCGGCTAAGGC